ACTGTATTTGTCTTACACAAGGTCAATTTCAAAGCAAGAAACCTTACCAGGTTAAGTAGTAGCATTATATAATGATAAAAATAAGGGAGTCAACATATACAAGAGATGTAGCAATTCCAATGTATATAAATCAAACTACAAGGCTTCAAACACACATGATAAAAACTAATAGAAATGGAAGTAGAACTAGGAATATGCACAATTATAACTAGAGACTTCCACACTCATTTCTCACTAAGAGGTGAAAGAAGTGCACAGAAAATTAGTAAGGATATAGAAGATTTCAACATTATCATCTAATTTGGCCTAACTGACATTTGTGGGACACATAACCTAGTAACAGTAGTTTCCATAGTATTTTCAAGTACATATCAAAACGGATTATGTGCTGGTTAATAAAAACAAATATCAATAATATTAAAATAATTGAGCACCGGGGATTTAGCTCAGTGGTTCCGCCGCCTGCCTCGCAAGCACAAGGTCCCGAGTTTGATCTCTGATACCAAAAAAAAAAAATAATAATAATAATGTTTGTGTACAATAGCTGCAAGCAGCAACCTCCTCAGTAGTGTACACAGCCTGTTGCTTATATGAGCTGGCCTAAGGGACTTTAGAGAGCCTGCTTCCTGTTGGATGATCATGTATCTGACTTCCTGCCATCCCCAAACTAGGCTCCAGACAGGCATTTGAGGTTCTTTTGGGAAGCCCCAGGGCACAGTGGTGAGGATTCACATGGGACAGGTCATCTTGTCTATCTGCACCAAGCTGCAGAACAAGGAACATGATTGAGGCCCTATGCAGAGCCAAGTTCAAGTTCCCTGGCCACCAGAAGATCCATATATCCAAGAAGTGGGACTTCACCAAGTTCAGTACAGATGAATTTGAAGACCTGATGGCCAAGAGGCACCTCATCCCTGATGGCTTCAGAGTGAAATACATACTGAATGGCAATCCCCTGGACAAGTGGCAGGCCCTGCACTACTGAAGGCTTCCACTGTTCCATCCCCCTCTCTAGGACAAGTTCATCAATAAATCTTATCTCTGCCCCTCTAAAAGATTGTTTGTGTATGAATGTTTTTGCTACATTTATAATAGAAAAAAATTGAAGTAATGAAAAGCTTATCAACCGGTGAATGGATTAAAAACTAGGTTACATGAGGAACTACTCAGCAAAGAATAAGAGTAAGAAGATAAAGATAAAGAAGAAAAAGAAGGGGAACAAGAACGAGGAAGAGGCAGATAAGAATGAATAAATCTCAAAATAATTATGGTGAGAAAAAAGGCTATGCATGTATGTATGTATATACACACATTATGTGTGGACATGTTTATATGTATATATGTAATCATATATAATATGGCTCTGTTTATATGTAATTCTAGAAAACAGAAATCAATCTACAGTAAGAGAGGCAGATCTTGCCTGCCTAGGGTGTGTTAGGCAATCAGGGAGAAGCAGGAAGGAAGAATAACAAAAGGTAACGAGAACAATCTTAGAAGTGATGCCTGGTTTTGCATGTGTATGTATATGTCAAAATTATATTTTGCCATTAAAAAAGAAGGCTCTCTGCTGCCTGCCTCAAAAGCACAAGGTCCCAAGTTCAATCCCTGGTACCAAAAAAAAAAAAAAGAAGGCTTAAACTCATCGATGACATACTAAGCTGGTTGTCTTTGATGTCACTGACAAGAAAAGCTAAGTGGCATGATTCTTTGTGAGGCACTTTGATACTATGTATCAATAAGTTTTCAAGCTGCTTCCAACCTTTAACCTAGGAATTACATTTGTAGAATTCTACTCCGAAGAGAGAATACAAAATACAAAGAAAAGTTTGTGCTCAGAGATGTCTGATGCAGGATTATTTGTAATAATAAAATACTGGAAACGACCTATACTTAAGAATCAGCCAAGTTTCTGCACAATGAAATATGCTGACTTAAAGTGATTCTTTTTTTGAGTGTGTATATCCTTTTATTGGTACATTTTAGCTGTACAATATAATGACATTCATCATTGGAAATTTGCACCTTTACATACTCTCTTGGTTCTTATTTTTTTTTAATTAAATTCTTTTATTGGTACATTGTAGGTATACAACAATTACATTTCTCACTGGGAATTGTACCTTTACATAATGCACTTTGGTTCTTATTTTTTCCCCAGTCTTAGCCCTCCCTTCACCCCCTCTACCCTTCCCTATTTACAAAGACTTTAAATCTTGTTTCTTATTTTTCCCCCTTCCCCTGCCCTCCCTTCAACCCCTCCATCCCTCCCTATTTACAAAGACTTTGTTTCCTTTTTTTCATTTTTCTCATATTAATTCCATTCCCTTCTTTCCTTTCCCCTACCCCTCCCACTTCTCCTTCAGTGATTCTTGATAAGAATGTATCCTAAAAAGGAAAGTGATATTTCATATAAGGAAAAAGGCAGAAAACAAAATAACTGGCAGGATGGTGTTAACAATGTAAAAGTCTTAGAAAAACGAAAAGGAAAATATTCTAAAATTTTAACAATTTATCTGTGGGTACTGAAAGAATACTTATTTTAAATCTGATTTTCTTTTTTTTTTTTTGGTATCAGTAATTGAACTTGGGACTTTGCGCTTTCGAGGCAGGTGGCTAGCCCTTTCTTTTCTAGATTTTAAAAAAAGTTCCATAATGAGACATTATTAGTTTTGTGAAAGTAAAAAAATAACTATTTCCAAAGGAAAATGCAGGGCCGGGGATTTAGCTCAGTCGTTCTGGCGCCTGCCGCGCAAGCGCAAGGTCCCAAGTTTGATCCCCGGTACCAAAAAAAAAAGGAAAACACATCTGAGGGCGTTTTCAAAACCCTGAAGACCCTTGATGTTCCACTGGTACTCAGAAAAGACCCCTGTGTGGCTAGGAGGGGTGGAAACTGGAGGGATGTGGCTGCCTGAGAGTCCACGGCCCGACGGACCACACCCTGTGTGCAAGTGGAAGCTGTCAACCTAGCACCTGTGCTTCTGAGCCTGTCACCTATCAGTCTGGGCAGAAGCCATCTCCTCTGCCTGCAGTTGTGCAGAAACACTGCGATCACAGCAGTGCCATGTCATAGTGCCTGCCATGACAAGGCTAGTAAGCATGAGGCCAAAGGGTTCTATGAAGCCATAGAGACCAAGGTCTTTTAAATTAAATGAGCATCCTGGAAACATGAAGAGGTAGGTACCGAGGCCTGTTTCAGATGCTGATGCCCCTCTCCTTTGGACTGACTTAAAGGAATAAATAAATGCATACACATATAAAAGGAAATAAATAAAAAGGCTATGCAGGAGCAAGCTAGACCTGATGTACATAGTAAAGGCTGTACAAGTAGGTAATTCATGTTTTGAACACTAAAAATTGGTAGTCATAAAGAAGTATTTTGGGCCAGATGTTGTGGCACACACCTATTAATCCCTGTACTCAGGAGACTGAGGTAGAAGGATCACCTTGCAGCCTGGACTACATAGTGAGACCCTGTCTCAAAAAGCCAAAAAAATAAAGAAACTTTTCAAAAATAAAATAAGTATTTTGAAAGGGATAACAATACTGTTTGGACAGAGGCGGACCGGGTGGGGAGTTGGTACATGAAACCTCGGTATGGATGAACACTGGAAATGCCAGCACGTCATCACTGCTCCTATGATGCTATCAGCCACTTGCTTGCTCCCTTGTCACTTTCCAAGCTATATACACTGACACCATCAGTGCCCACAAGGGGTGCTCACTGAACATTTGCAGATGGATAAACAATAGTGATAGGCTTAAGAAGGCCTGAGAGACCAACTTTTTCAACCCAGCTGTCTTATTTCTTTTTGCTGAATGCCATGAGATAGTACTCTGGCCTTGAGTTTCATCTCCTGCCTGCTCTGAGATCAGAGCCATGGTGCAACCCACCAAGGCCAATACCTGCCAATTATGCTTTTTAATAAATGGATGTGCCAGCTGGTGGCACAGGAAGACGACCACAGAAACCTGCAGCCAGCGCTGAGATGAACATCTGATGTGAACACAGGGAGTCATTTCAAACATCCCTTTGAGCTTCAGGAATGGTCCAAGTTTTAACTCTTCCAAATTAGAGCTCATTATTTAAAAACTCATGACCCCACGTTGCCTGGGGTCCCACGATGTAGATGTAGATGTGATGGATTTTAAGGTCCTTCCTGATCTGTCCACCTTCCCCATCATCAAGACAATGCTGGATCTCTGCTTAACAGGAAGCAGAGGACAGTGCTGACCTGAGAGACCATGGGTGTAGCACAGGCACAGGGCTCCTTCAGAGGCTTCTGGCCCCTCACCATCACCCAGGCTGCTTCCCCACAGCCAACCACACTGACTGTGCATCACACAGAGCTTCACACAGGTGGGAAGACCAAGGTGTTCTTCAAAGTCAAAGCAATCCTGGGTCAACCAACCCCTAGGAAACCCGATGTCCAGGAAAAGCAGCAGCTCAAAGGGAATTTTAATAAGCTCTCAGCCCATGGAAAATGCCACCTGGGAGGTGTAGAATTCTTCCTCACCTGGATAAAACATTTGATCTGTGCATCTAAACGTCCAAATTGTGGTTACCATGTGACTGTAACACAGTCCTGTAACTGAAATAAAGGTCCTCTCCAAGCAGGCAGCACAGGTGCTGAGGAGATCAGAGGCCTCTCTGATCTGCTCTCGAGGCACATTTCACATCACCCAAAGCTAATCAGGATGCCATGTTCTGAGAGAAAAAGCACCTGTCCAAGAGATCATGGAGGAACCCAGGGTCAGAGGGGAGGGCTGACACAGGGTTCTTCAAATAGATATACTGTCTCTGTGCCTGGTGTCCTGGACTTTTCAATCCCTGTACTAAGTAGGGCTGTTTTCAGCAAGATTAATATCACTCTCATACCTCATCTGAAGAAGCAAAGAGAAATAAGACGTGGGACCTGTTTTAAATGGAAATCCCAGTTCATAAGAGCCCAAGGTTAAGATCAACCTTCTGAGAATTTCCACAGGACACTTGTACTTACCTTAGAGCGGATAGCTCCAAAATACAGAGAGCTGAAAAATTACTCTTGCTTCCTTCCTTAGAGCTTCCTCCTTGGCATACCACAGCTACTCAGATGTTTTCAGATAGGTCTCCAAAGTGTGAGGTCTCCCAAGGTTGTCTGAACAGTATTGGAAGCCAGCACACTCTGCTTTAGGGTCGCCCTTCAATTTAATCCATGTGTGAAAATAAGAAGAAGAAAAACTTAGATACATATATGCCTGCCTACATGTCACTTAACCACATCCTCAGCCTTAAGAATGCATCTTTTGCTGGGCACAATGGTATACCATGCTCATAATCGCAATACCTGGGAGCCTGAAGCAAAAGGATCACAGGTTTGAGGCAAGAGTGGGCAACTTGGCAAGACCCTGTCTCAAAATAAAATTTGGAGAAAAAAAGGATGGGGCTGTAGCTCAGTGGTGGAGCCCTTGAGTAGCATATAGGAGGGTCTGGGTTCATTCTTCAGTATGAAGCAAGGAGCAGGTGCTGTCTTCAACAATATACTTATCTGCTTTCTGAAACCCCAGGAGAACCTTACCTACTCTGGATTTTCCCTTGTAATGCTGTAGTAAATTGGGGCTACCTCCAAGGCCTGGGCCCCTTTTCTGTTCTGTTGCTCTGCCTAGTATGAAGATAAAACTTTGCTCCTTAGGGGCCTGGGATTTAGCTCAGTGGTATCGTTGCCTGCCTAGCAACTGCAAGGTCCTGAGTTCTATCCCCCATACCAAAAAAACCCAAAAAACAAAAAACTTTGCTCCTTATCTGATCAAAGTTTGGATCTACTGAAAACATCATCTTCGGTCTTCAACTCTGGTCTCCGTTTTGAATGAAAAAGATCTACCTGTTTTGTAGTTGTTCCTCTCCCACTAAGAACCAATAACAAAATGACAAATGGTATAGCAGGTATCTATAGCCCTAGCTTGCTTGCATGGTTTCATAGCTACTCTCAGCTGTACCTCAGCGTCAGTAGAATATCTAGGCTATTGCCAAATTACCTACAATATCTTTCCACCAGAGCCCTGCCAGCCCCCATCAACAATGGATTCTCTTTTTACAACTGGAGAAACTGAGGCACATTGTAATAATGATGGCTTCTTTCAAAGAAAAGTTAGGAACATCTATTACGAGCTGTTGTGTCCAAACAATACTGTTTGGACACAGATGGACCTGGGTGAGGAGTGGCCCCTCCCCACCAGACACTTGAGTTTCTTGCATAGGAAGTGATATCAATGAGGGAAATTCTGATTCTTGATTAAGTTTTTTTTGCTTTTTTGGTACCGGGGTTCAAACTCAGGTCCTTGTGCTTGCAAGGCAGGTGGCAGAACCACTAAGCTAAATCCCCAGCCCTTGATTAAGTTTTAAAACAAAGACACCATGGGCCAGGGATCTAGCTCAGTGGTTTCAACCCCTGCTGCACAAGCACAAGGACCCGTGTTCGATCCCCGGTCCCCCGCACCCAAAAAAAACAAAGACACCATCCAATCAAAAGGCAGACAGAGGATAAAGGCCTAAGCCAAATATAAAAAAGAAAACAGGAAGCAAGTCAATCTATCACTTCCTTCAGCCAGGAATGGCAAGCCACTGGAGACTCCCAGAGCTCTCAGGATGAGTCCGTGGGGTTCTCACTATCACCAGCACTACGAAAAGTCACCACCTAGGTTGCACCACCCACGACTGCCAGAGAACAAGCCCCAGCTTTGCATATGGGGTAAAATAAACAGCCATGTTTTAAAGAAGTGCACTCTAAAGCGGGCCTAACTCTCCACCAAATGCATATATGACAGCAGATATAAGAACAGATATGAAGCACCCTCCTTGTGATGTTCCTTGCACAGTTGGGATAGCACATTCCCCATCTGTTAACTTTCTGGCTTATATGTGTTCATACGAAATACACAAGAGAATGCAAGCTGAATAAACCTGTGCAGAAAACCTCAGTCCAAACTGAAAAAAAAAACAAAGCCTTTGCTCCATTCAAAACACAAACACTTACATTCTCAAACCCTCACAGCTTCTGCTCTTCTCACCCATTTCTCATCTTGACCGTGTCAATCTTTCTCAGGTTGTCCAGGCTCAGCCGGGCTTGTGCAAATCAGCTCTGAAGCTTCTATGACTCAGCAAAGAGCTCCGCTTTTATTTTTCAGATGGAATTTACCACGCTGTGACTACATCCAGGGGGAGGAACGGTTTCCCAGAGCCGTTTCTAAGCAGAGCCCTTCAGCCAAGATGCTCAAGCTCTCCCTAAGCACAGAGGCATTCTCAACAGCACCCAGCCCGGTGCTCCCTCCAGCGTGCACGGAAGACCACAGCTAGGGGAGGGACTAGCGCTCTGCCGTTGCCACCGGCACCCTGACGCTACTTCTTGCTATGCAGATGAGGAGGAGTCCTGTACTCTGAACTGGTCAGACCACATCCTCACGTGAAAAGGAAAGTGAGGAACGCAGGCAATTGCTGGATAGTTCCTCATGGCATTTCTTGCAAGCACGGCATTCTGGTCCTCTTTCCCTCTTGGTTAGAGAATCCTTCTCAGGATTTAATGTCACTTTAAGGCCAGTAATAGGAATATATTTCCGCTAAAGAGACTTTTTATTTTAAATGGTAAGGAGATAAAGGATTTACATTCACTAAATTCTGAAGGATGAAAATGTAGAGAAGAAACAGACAAATAAGGCCACTACCGTATCTCTTGTGACTGACAATCACAGGAGCTCACCCTGCCCTAATTCTTGGATGATTTTTTTAATAAACCTTTGCATAAGCAGCCTCACTGAATGGCTCTTTAGAAATTGCAGGGTCTCACAGGGTTTCTGAGCAGTGGGAGGCACTCAGATTCCATCTGGCCTGATTGGATCAAGGAAATAATTCAGATAACCCTACTGCCTGGTCCCATTTCTAACCAAAAATGAGTTAGAACCCAAAGTGGAGGTGCAGGTATCCCTCCTGCCTGGCTCCAAAGAGCTCCTCTCTGCTCCTGCCAGCTCCACCCCACATTCCATATGCTGGGCCTGCACCCCACTGGTTACTCCTTTCTGGCTGCACCAATCAGGCCCAAATTGTCATTTCCCCAAACTAAGACTCAATGGATACTGTTCTGACAGGAGCACAATAAAAACAGAATATAAGATGACAATGATAATGTGGGAAATCTTAACTTCTGGTTATTTTCTGCTGTTTGGTCAACTCTAATAAGCAAGGACAAATGACTAAGATGTTCTGATGAAAACCATTGACAATAATGATACTTTGATAAGCTCCCTGCATTTCCTAACACATTTAACAGTGATAGCTCTGTTGGCTTGTTATTATTATTGCTGTCTGTATTTTACAGGTGAAGACACTAAGGTTGGGTCATTTGCCCTTAATCCCATAATTGACAGTTGCTGAGGCCCAGATCCAGGAGGCCCTGAGGTCACAATCCAAACCACCTTTCTGTGCTGAGGAACAAGATTGGCCCCTGGAATAGAAATCTTTACACTGTGGAATGGTCCAGGGTTCCATCACCCTCCCAGAAGGACGGCTGCCCTCCATGTCAGATGGAGGCAGCAGGTGGCAAATGCATGAATCTCTATACCCTTTAACCCAATCATTTTATTTCTAAGACTGGAATCTAATGAGATGATACAATAGTGAGGGGTGTGCACAGATTTTATTTGGCAAATATTTTTGTAGCATTTACCCTGTGCTGGGCACTGTTTCAAGAACTTTAAATGTAACTCATTTAAAGATGATTATGACAATGTTGCTCAAAACGTTAGAAAACTGGAAGCATCCTAAGTGTCCAACAACAGAGAGAGAATTCACATAAACACCAGAATGCACATATACCAGAATACAATGGTACCACTGAAAATGTCATCAAGTCTGTACTACTCACATGGAAAGATGTAATTAACTTTTGTTAAGTGTTCTTTCAAAGCTGGCTATAAAAGGTATAAAAGGCTATACAAGGTCACAGTTATGTTTTTTAAAATAAGTATGTTGTGTGTTGCAATCACAGAAAAAAATGTCTGAAAGTGCATATACCAAAATATCAAGCGGTTATGTCTCTAGGTAACAGGATCTCAGGTGACTGACATTTTGTTTTATATCTTTCTGAATTGTACAGATTTTTAAAACAAGGAATATGTATTTATATTTAGGATTTAAAATCTATTTTTATTTCCAAACAGACTTATGCACAGGCACTACCTTAGGTACATGTTTCTTGTCACTGCAACATAAGTAGTGTGTCCTCACATTGGGCTCTGAGGGGAACAGTGGCCCTTCTGAAGCCCAGGCTAATGGAGGTTAGGGGAGAAAGCAGGGTACTGGGTGCCACACTAATGTGTAAACCTTCTGCAGCAACTTGTTCATTTAAACAGTCTCTGTTTCCTAATTGTAAGAACAAAGCATGCTTGTTGTACAGAATTCAGAAAATATAGAAATAGATTAATAAGTAAACAGCAATCCTGAAGAAACTGCATTTTGAGCACACTTCCCAAAGTGCATCAACAGCCTCTATCCTAATTTTTCCAGCTCACGGAACCAAGACTCAGCACTGAAGGAAGAGCCACCATAATGTAACTGCACAGAGTAACTGAATGACTCAGCTGCATACTGAGGAATGGAGATTTAAACAACACAGTACACTTGTGCAACAATGCCTGGAAAACTGCAACCCCCAAGGAGTCCCTGGTCATCTCCCCACACTACCTCCAGGTCCCTGGACCGTCCTCTACCAGCCTCACTCTGGCCTACCTTACCTCCTGGAATCACTGTCATCTGCTTGATTTGGGAGAGCTTGGCCACTCCGGAGATGCTTCCCAAATGCACAGTTCTGCCACATCACTGCTGGTGAGACCCAGCCCCACACATCTTTTTGCCTGCCGAATATCAGATTGGGTGTCTCAGGGGCTTCTCAAACACAGCAAGTCCAAAAACAATCTGCCCCTTCCCCCAAAGTCCTGTCTTCCTTCTATTTCAGTTCTGACACTACCACACAGCAGTTTTCCAAATAAAAAGCTGGCGGTCACCTCCTGCACTTCCCAGCCCCCGGCTACTGGACCCTCAGACCCACCTCCAAGCCACCCTTTCTCTGGTTTCTGCCAGGACCCTGTCTGAGGTGACTCCCACATCCCGTCCTCAGTCACACTCACCACACATGGCAATCTCTCATGACTCAGACCTACTTTTATCACTCCCATGCATGGTGTTCTATTTTTACTTCACAAACGTATATTCATAATCATATATTATTGCTTTATGTTACTAAAAAAATGACATAAATGGTAGCATAGTTTGCATATTTTTTTTGCCATTTTCTTTTTTTGACCATCATGTCCTTGATGTTGATCCACATTGGTGCATGTAGACCTTCATTTATTTTCACTGTAATCCCATGGATGAATAAACCACACTACATATTTGTCTCCAGCTTCCCCTACTGCTGATAAGGAAGTAGGAGGTTTCCATTTTCTCATTTTTATAAATGATACCCCAAAGAATACCCTGGTACACAACTTATGGTCATGAGCTCACATGTCTTTGAAGCAGATATCCTTATGCAGGAAGCCTGGGGAGTGGGAACAGGCATCACTGACTTTGTTAAATGTTTTGGGCTGCTCTGGAAAGCAGCAAACAGTAATGTATGATCTGTTTATCTCCCTGTATTTCACCAAGCTCAGGGTTGGCCACACTGATAGCCAGAAAGGACACTTTACTGTTGACTTTGACTTGCATTTCTCTGATTAGCAGTGAGATTAGTCCATTGTTATGCTTACTGGTTGTTCAAGTCTCTACACTATCTTGTCTCTTTCTTTGCCCTTCCCCTATGATGGATGAAATCATTCATTGCTTTGAAATAGGCTGTTGGGCTGGGGGTAGCTCAATGGTAGAGCATTTGTCTAGCATGCATGAGACCCTGGGTTTAATCTCCAGTACTATATCAACAACAAAAATATGATAATAAAATAGGCTGTTCTATATTTGGGATATTATCCTTTGTGGGTGAAGTCTTGGTAGTCCTTTCCAATTTTCATGTTGCCTTCTATACTACAGAACTTTAATCATTTTCTATGTTTCCATCTGTTTTTCTATGTTTGATGACATTTTCATTTCTTGTTGAGGAAATCTTTCCAAGATATGTAGACATATCCTCCCAGGGTTCCTTCTAAAGGCTACCACACTGTTTTACTTTTTTTTTTTTTTTGGTACCAGGGATCAAACTCGGGACCTTGCACTTGCAAGGCAGGCGGCAGAACCACTGAGCTAAATCCCTGGCCCTTCTAGAATGTTGGAGGAAGACTTCATATCTTGTAGGCTCATGTCCTTTGCCCTCCTCTTCAAACTTAACTTTTCTACATCAACTTGTCAAATTCAACACAATCCTGTTTGGTTTTGATTGGGATTATACTGAATTTATAGGTTAATCAGAAGAAAATGATATCTCTTTGATATTAATTCTTTTGTACATGATCATAGTATAATTTCCTGATTATTTAAGATTTCTTAGGGCCGGAGATTTAGCTCAGTGGTTCCACCGCCTGCCTCACAAGCTAAGGACCCGAGTTCAATCCCCGGTACCCAAAAAAAAAAAAAAGATTTCTTTGCTTCAAATAATTTGTTTAATTTTCTCCAAAAGGTTGTGCACAATTTTTTATATACTTTTAGGTGCCTACCTTTGTATGACCATTATGAATGGAATTTTTTTTGTGTATGTTTGTTTTGATATAGAAGATCTAAAATGTCTCCAAAAGTCTCATGCATTTTGAGTTTAAGCTTTATGAAGGTGATTATATCATGGGGACATTAACCTCATCAATGGATTATTGATGAGTTCATAGCTGAATGTGTTGTTAAAAGGAAGTAGGTTGCTGGAGGCATGGCTTTTTGAAGGGTATCACGTTTCTCTGGTTCTCTCTCTGCTTCCTAGCTGCCACAAGGTAAGCAGCTATCCACCATACCCTCCTACCATGATGTTTCTGCCTTGTAGATAGCCAACTATGGACTACCAACTCTGAAATGGTGAGCTAAAATAAACCTTTTTCCTTTAAATTGTGTATGTCAAGTATTTTGACCCAGCAACAGAAAGTAGCTAACATAATTCTATTGTTATTTTTTTTCTTGCCATAACTAGAAAGAAGATGGGTGGTATGTAGAAACACTATCGGTTCTTTATATTGATCTTCTACTAAAAACTTGCTAAAATCTCATTAGTTCTAATAGTTTGTTTCCATGCTGTCTTGTATTTTCTATGTAGATAATAGCATTTGTGAATGAGTTTTATTTTTCCTTTCCAGTTTTTAT